ATCAGATAGCGTTCGTTCGACGGGCATCCGAAAGGCTGCATCATTCCGCGGCCACCGTGCCCGCGGCTGACAGTGTCGCCAGCAGCCAAACGGCGAAACTGTGTGAGAGCGAAAACAATTATCTCGTTGGAATGACACCCCGGTACACCGTGGTCTTTCTGTATGTGCGACAACCTCGCTGGAGCTCTGCGCGTCTGGAGCATGGAGCGGCACAAGCCGTCTTCTGCACTGCTGCCTGCCTCCTGTGTCTTACACCGTGCCCAGGGGTCGACGAGTGATCTGCCGGCGCCGCTCGAAACCATAGTGAGACAGAGAAAGAGGGAGTGAAAAGCGGACTTTATCGGCACGGCGTGAGGAGCGCGCTGTCCTCACCTGAAGAGTACTATCTCACACCGTGGCCGGAATGCTTACTCAGCCAATGAGATAATGGATGCCACCCGTGAGGGGGCCCTGCTTTTGTTCTCTCAGAGGTAATGCTTCAGTGTCTTGCTTTTGCGGTTTACATTTTGCAAGGATACCCTTGCCAAAAAATCATTCTGTCTTAAAAAAAATTGTCCGAAGCACCAGGTTACTACAAACATAAAAGTAGAGTGTTCTAATTTTAGGTGCCTTGCAAAATATTTTGATTGACGGCACATGCTTGGTGTGGTGTTTTTTTAGCGATGGTACACCATAAAAGACGTACTTGTCATGTTTATCTTTATCTAACATAACAAAGAATTTTGTGAAATACCAGACTTGCCCGCCATAGACTTGCTGCATGTTGTTATGATGCGTATGCAATTGCTTCAGACAAAAACGTATGCTCGTATCAAACTGCATCTTAATCCATAATAGGTAGTCGGTAAAAGGATCCGACATAATTGAATTCCGTTTGAAATATCTGCTGGGTAGTCCACTCCGCAGTCAAAATTAAGTTGGCGTGTATGAGAAACTGGTCAAGTTACAGAATATGACCTAAAATTGCAGGCGGATGTGCATGAGTGTATTTCACAGACGTTATGACCTGAAAGACGAAACTCGTGACTCGACAGCTGCGAGGCTTCAAGTTTCAGCTGGGCGTCCCCTTTAGGCAGCGTACACCTCGGTTGCCGAGGTGGCCACCTCTCTTATTTTAAACCCTACGCAGTCTGACCTCTGCTGTAAAAGCTCACACCGGCGTCGGGGTCGGACTGTCCAGACGCGAAGGGCTCATGGGGGGAGGGGGAGGGCGGTGGCAAGCTAGTGCTATACGAAATTGAATTGTGCAGAAAGGCAAATGATGCTGCTGGGGCCAGTACCTTTGCAGCCACCAGAGCCTGCTCTTGAGCATACCAAGTCATCCGTACTCAACGTCATCTTAAGCAATGCTTTTCGTTAAGCCTGGTCTCGGGACAGCACACCACCCAGTGACGTTGCAAGGAAGCAGTGTGCAACCATAGTTCAGGGGTTAGTCCCTGTCACCGTCACACAGAGGTGAGAGGGTCTCCGACATTAATGTTTCATAGCCTTTTTCAGCTATCGAAGAGCACATCAAGACTAGATAAAGGCTTTCTATCTGAATGCAGCCTCTAGAAGGAGCTAAGTATGTAGGTTTTTATAACATCCCTAAAGCATGCAAGAAAGGCTGTGTTCTGCACAAAACAAAATTGTGAACGTATTTTACTTGGCCTGCGCAGCGTCAATTGAGTGACGATAAAAGTTTAGCACAAACATCAGGGGATCAAAAATTTGTGTTATCAACCGTTTTTACGAACGGAGTGCGGTAAGTTAAAGTAGAAACGTACACAGCGTGCTGTAGCTGTTCAAAGTCCCTATGTTGGTGCCCTATCCTATAGGCCCAGACTTGCACACGTTACTGAAAAGTAGGAAGGATTTATGTTCACAATCACTCAAGGGCAAATCGTAATTAATTACAATTAAAACTACCCTTCTATCAAAGTAAGTGACTGTTACTCCAAAAAGTAATCTGTTACTTTCGTGGCGTTTCTTCTAACATTACTGTCCTGAATTTTTAAAAAAAAAGATGATTATTTAAATGGTGACAGATTATTTTGAGCTACAGCTGGCTCTCGAAAGTCTCGTCAGACATTTTGCCTAATTTCTTACTGAAAATGTTGACTGCTACGCTGAACACCCTCTGAACTGAGGCACTGGATGGGAGTGCAATTCTGTACCTCACGAATGTTTCACGCTCTGCCCGGAGCTTCTTCAGCGAAGCAATGGAAATACTAAATGGAAATACTATTTACCTCGAAGATACAGCAAAGCTTCGTCGTTGCAGCCGTTGCCTGATATACGAGTTTTAGTAGATAGTTTCGATACCTACGATTCCCCCGATAAGGATACCTGATAACGATATGACGCATGCGCAAGGGCAGAGGCGTAGTATCAGGTATCACTATCAGAGTCGCCGGAAAATCTACTAATATTATCTATTGTCGAAACCGCGAAGCATAGAAGTCGTCATACAATAAGCCAAAACTGGAATAAGAATTGACTTATGTACATCTCACTATACTAGACGTATAGTGCCAGACATCTTTTTGGCCATGTGCCGTGCGCCGAAATGCAGCAATCGGAGACGCATTCCAGGCACTTGAAGTTCCGGTTATAGAAATCATCGATCCGGTTAGCTTTCCGGCCCGCGATCATTGAGGGGGAGTGACAGTAGCTGAGGATACAGATTGACTTAGAGGGTATGAAAACAAAATGCCTCTTTTATTCACCACGAATTCACCATTTTATTCATCATGAATAAAATAACGCAAAACATTAACGAAGGAAGGCCGAGGTAGACAGGAAGGCAGCTAACTGACAACTGGCATTTAATACTGCCTATAAAGAAGGAGAAGAAAGAAGATACTGATGTTCTTGTCTAAAAGAAAGAAAAGTACACCCTCAAAGTTGTTATATGTGAGAAACATAAAATAAAATACATGAAAAAGGAGAATTGCTGATGATATCTTCGAGTAAAAAAAAGAAAAAAAAAACAGTAAGAAAAAATAGAGAAAGCTCAAAGCAACAATTTTTGAAACAAAAATTATAAAATTGCCTAGGTACAAGATCTGAAATTATAGATGATAAAAAGAAAGAAAAATGTGAAGTTTGAGACCAGAAAGGAACATAAATTTGTGGGCTGAATACTTGTCATCGAGTCATAAGATTGAGGTTGTAAAGTTCCTTTTGAGATAAGGCGATCGATGCGGCCCTGATGGACACAACCCCACGAGACACAATTGTTTGAGCTTCGTACAACTTGCGTGTCCTTTGGGACCTGAAACGTCTTAGAAGTTTTGGTTTGGCTAGATATTGCTGAGCACATACAGTCCCTTGCATGTATTGCAAGATGGCCGGCTGGTGACGATCTCAAGGGTAAGGGATGTTCTCGTAAGCGGTCATTGGTGAATCGGCCTGTTTTTCCCACATATATTTTGCCGCAGGTGAAATTACTACTGATGTTTTACTTTGCACTCAGATTGCTGTGGTTGGATGTGGTTAATTTTCGGACACAACCGCCTAAGTTTTACTTGTGCAGAGAGTGCCACTTGAACTTATTATTAGAAGCAATACTTATTAAGTTGTGTGTAATTTGATGAATGTATGGCAGCACTGCTGGTCATTGGTTCTTCTCCCGTGTGCGTTCTCGATCTCCACTGTTGTGGAGTAATGATTCGGCGACTTCAAACCCAATCAAACTCGGGAACCCAGAAGTTTTGAGGCGCTGCACTTGAGCTTGAAAACACTCAGCCGCGAAATGTGTGCACGACTTTTTTAAGGCAGCACTCATTGTGGTTTTGACAATTCTTCTCTTGATGATTTTTGAGTGGGCTGAGTCGAATTGAAGCAGGCCTTTTTTTGGTGCTCGGTGAATATTTCCAGCAAGTGTGCTTGTCTTTGAACATCAGACGAAGATCTAAAAATTGAAGGCTTAAATTCGATGGAGGCTCATTGGTGAAATTGAGCCCTTGCCCATCGCTCACGATAGTGGTGTTTATGGTGTGGACATGTCTGAGCTTCATTTTTTATGGGTCTCTTTGAAAGAAGCACTAGATAATCATCCATGTATTTGAAAACGCGTGAAACTTGCCCTTTGGAGAGTGCATTAGCGATGGACCGATCACATTTGGAAGGAAGATGTCGCAGAGGACGTGTGCCGCACTATACCCTATACATATGCCTTCCCTTGTACGTAAAACGTATCTTCGCACGTTACCACGGTGGCAGATCGGTAGAACCGTAAAAATTCTAGGAAGGATTCTGCCTGTACTCCACTTTCATTTTGAAACGACGTAATTCGTTTGGCTTCGATACAATCGTTAACAGCTGTAAACAGCTTGTTGTGTGGGATTGAGTAAAAAATGTCCTCCACATCAAGTAAAAACCCGTATTGTACTGTTGCATCACTCAGTTGTAGGTGATGCATGTGCAACCACCTCAGGATTGGGGATCAGTAATGGATCATTTAGTTTGAGGTTAGACAGGTGCTGCATTAGATAGCGTGACATCACCCCTTGCCACGATCCTTTTATACTATTTTCTTTTTTTATTTACATTTTTGCTTTAATTGTTACCCACTTTAATGCGTGCATTTCAAGCCAACGCTCTCTGGTACAGTGGGAAATTAATATAAGGCGGCTTAAAGTTGCCATTGTTAATACCTATGGTTTCAAAGTTTCAACCTACAATTCTTACAAATTTTATCCGTGCTTTCTATTGTAGAAGCGCGTCCTTTTTTGAGTTCGATCTTATCCTTAATTGGTGATCACGCAGGCTAGAATTACCGCAGCAAAATCCTGGTATCTCCTAAAGGATTTCACTAACCAAAGAGAACATCATAATAATTAACGCCGCTTTATACGTCAAGCCTCAACTGAGCAAGCATAAGTTACAAACGTGGCATTTACGCTCAATGAAGATCAAATCGCATTTTTAGAGAGCCTACAAGTGCATTTTAGTCGCAGACCTCTAGAAAATAAATATATCAAAGTCTAAAACCAAACAGAAATATATTTGCTTACGAGATTCAAAAATGAAGTGCAGTTCCCTCTGGTAGAAGTATCTCAGGAAGCTGTTCTCGGTGACCAAGTCCGCAAACTTGGCAGCCACAAACTTGCGCCTGTACTCATTCCGAAGCTGTTCGTGGTTCATAGTCTCCTTTTGCGTTGCTCGTGCCGTGGAGTCGGGATCGCACGCGTGTGTGCGCTACGCTAAATGGTGTCGGCACTAACTGCAACTATTCTTAGAAGCCCCGTAGCTATTTTTTGATTATACGTGTTCTTTTGGAAGTTATTATATAGAAAAAAAAAAGAAAAGAATGGGTGGTGGTGGCACGTTTTACTGTTCAGTAAACGAAGCAGGCGAACAGATGGCGCAAGTGGTAAAAATATGTCACGTTTTAGTTCTGCTGCAGCCTTCTCCAACAGCTGCTATATTCCCTCTCAAAATAACTTGGCAAATGGCTACAGCTACTGTCGCAGTCAGCCAATCAGCGCTTCCGAAGGGGAAGAGATTACTATACTCCATATCACCAGTTACGTGCAGTGCTGTCAAAACCACGGGCGAAAGAAAGAAGAAAGTCGCTTTTGTACGTACCTGGAGTGACAGAATAATCTTTTAGAAGTTGAAAAGCGACGTCTGAGAAAGACAAAAGAGAAGATATTTCCTCCTTTTCCTCTTCTCAAAATGTTTAGGTTACCTCTCACACCTGTACTTTTGGTAAGAGGTGACACGCGCCTCACCTTCGTTGCTATGATTGGCTCAACGGTGCGTTCCGTTCTCTCTTTACCAAGTTACGGTGAAACGAAGTAGAGTATGCGTGAAGCAGAGAACGGGAAAAAGTGTTAGCTCAAGGGGCGAACTCAACGAGATACACGTTTTAAAAAAGAGCGAACCGGGGGGGGGGGGGGGGGGGGAGGGGGGGGGTTATCGACGATTTTTTATCAGCACGATGAGGCACCAATTCGCTTTGGTGTAATTTGCATCTGCATGAAATAAAGCAGTATCGAGAATTTTCGCATTGGATCACGAGATCCGACGAAGCCGTACCAAGCAGAACTCAAATGACTATCTAGAGCGGTTACACGCACGCACAAGCTGTTGCAGCCCATGAACCGCTACTCTGTTTTGCCGAGGCATCACCATGTAGCGCAATTCTCGTCCCACTTCGCGTGAGATTAAACCTCCTCTATTTGTACCCATTCTTCAGGGTACGCGCAAACTAAATGTTAAGCAATATGTCACGTTTACCCACCGGGAGAGTCACGCTTACTCCCACGAAATTAATGAAATAATATTGATTTACGAACGTTCATTCGATTTGCGATTGACGAGAACCATACGTGTATGGTGTCCCGGAGAATCTAAAATTGGCACAGTAACCGAACGCATCTCAAGTATCGTGCCTACGTTAATTAAAAACATTTTCCTCCAATGTCTAGGATACTAGTATAGTTTTATTTCAACTCCCATCACTAGACACTCTCGATAATGCGTTTCTCGTCTCCATGGATGTGATTTCGCTTTATAATAACATCCGTCACCAGGACGGGCTCATGGCGCTGATCGAAGCTTACAAACAGGCTTATCCGAACCTCAACGTCGCAAATAACGTTTTCTCGATTCTCGCGAGACTTGCCTTAGAGTGCATCAACTTTGACACCGAAAACAATCGCTTTTTTCAGATAAATGAAACCACCTTACGTACTAAATTGGCTTCTAATTACGCGAATATACGAGGTGATTATGAAACGCAAAAATACACATCGTGGAGTAAAAAAGGTGATGCACAGTGCATGGCCTCTGCCAAAGTATGTATTAATAAAGAGTGCTATTGTTTAGTATAATTGAATAAAAAGTTAACTTAGAAATCACATTTTTAATTAATAACTTTAAAAGTACGATTTCAATTAGAAACTTGATTCGGATAATTGAAAACTGCTACATCCACCCGCGTTAAAGTGATATAATGCACGCGAAGCATTTTATGGTGTTCCGAATAAATGCTCAATTTGTATACGTCAGAGTCCGAGTGTAGCAATTCCCCCCCCCCCCCCCCCCAAAAAAAAAAAAAGAAAAAAAAATGGGAACGTAGGTAAACAAAAACCAAAAATGTGAGCGAGTGAAACACACAAAAAATGAATACTAAGAGCAAAAAAAAAAAAAAACAAAGAAAAGAACGAGCAAAAGCCGAACCTTTAAAGCGACCAATCTCTCCAGCCAGGAGGAGAGGGACACGCCTTAGTCCATCCCGTTAGTCGCTCAAAGCTGGGCCCCCAGGACAAACTTTTGCGCCCTTGCATTTAGGCTACTGGGACTGAATGTTGCGCCCTGACCTAATATATTACTACATTGCGCCCTTACACACCCGATATTATTTCAAAGCATACTCTTGATCGGTCAGAACACTGACTGAACCGAAATATTTAGCGAGGACGACGCTGATCGAGCCTAAGGACTAAAGACGATCCTTGGAACGTTTAGCAATAATATTGGAGAACAATATTGGTGTGAAAGCAGCACCATATTAGTAACATTGTTCACGGTTTAGATAGTCCCTGACCAAACGACTTATTCAAATGGTCAGCATAAAAGTCGCGTGGGTAGCCTTTTGACGTGACGATTGAATTAATAGGTCGTCGTGTGTGTGTTGTGCGCATGTCACCTGTGTTCAAATGTCCTGTCTATGTTAAAACGTATAACACGTATGCAGTCGTAAAAGAACCGCTGTTCATATGTGAGTGTAATGAGCTTGGAAAAGATCTACCCCAGTGCTAACATATCTTTTATCGACTTTGAATTTGACGTTGACCAGCGACACCGAGGTTTCGCTGGTCAATGTCAAAGCAATTTAGTAATAAAGTAGGTAAGGGCACAACATTCAGTACCAGTGGCCTAAATGCACTGGTGCAAAAGTTAGCCCTGACGCTTAAACTTTGAGGGACTAACGGGAAGCGCGCCAAAGTCGCTTCCCTCCCCGTTAGTCCCTCAGGGGACTTATGGTGTAGGCAGCGCATTTGGTCCTCGTAGCGACTAAATCGCACTCACTTTTTGTCTTAGAGTGTAGAGGAGCAACCATCAAGAGAACGAACAAAACATTTTCAAATAATGAGCAACTAAAGCAATGGGCAACTAGAGTTGAAAAATTTTCTCTCAAGAGCCACCAAGCTGCATAAAGGCCTGACTAATACAGTTGCCTACGGTTTTTATTCGAATTGTTTCTCTTACAACTCTCTTCATATTATTTACCTCTAGGTGCATACTTTCTGTTCCTGACCATTTTGCCCTACAATGATTGAATTCATTCACGTGTTTAGCTAACTTCAAATTTGCAGCATTATTGTTGACCTTTCTTTTGTGTTCCGTTAACCTCTCAATCATACACCTTGAAGTTTGCTCCACGTACTTAAAACCAGAAGCCAACGGTATCTCATAGACCACTCCATTTTTGCAGACCGACCTCTCATTTGGGCCTTTTTTGCATTCTCTCTAACCTTTGTGAAATGGCGTGAGTCTAGTGACTAAAGATCTGAACTGAAAACGGTGTCTGCTCCGAACTGTTTTGCAATCGAGTTCAGATTATGTGATCTTTTGTGCTAATATGATATTACAGCAAACTTGTTTTTTTATTTCTGTTCTCCTTCACTTTTGTCTGTGACTGGTGGGCATAAATGTCTTTGGATTAACAAATTACCGGTTTTGTTAATAACCGGTTTTGTTCAATCGCTACCACTGTCTTTCCAACGATCGGGTCATAGTTAAAAATTGAGTTGCCACCGAGAAACTATGAAGACGGGGGTAGTTAAATTATTACCCAGGAATGCAATAGACAGGCCTTGTATTCCTTTTATGCCTCATTCGTTGGAAAGACTGTTGAACAGACTGAGCAAAACCGGCTATGAAGATAAGTTCAACAAAAGACAATTTGATACCTCTCGTCTGCTCTCGCTAGCTCGGTTGAGTAGAAAAAGAACAGTTCCAACTTTCTACGACTTTGAATTTCAACTCGACAGCGCCTCCTGAAGGTAAACTTAGGCGGAGATTCTTGCTGATAATTGTAGTTCAAATGGCTGAAGCACGTTGATTGCCGAAGACGTATCGTGGAGATGGGGTATACCCAAGCATCCACAATGCGAAAATTCGCAAAGCTGACCTATGCTCTTCGGAGGTAGAATGATCGGGAATGTCTGACGCAGTAATAGAACGCTAAAAGGAGGCCAAAACCATAGCCTCCTCTATACTCACAAAGCCTGGCAGTTCGACGACGGAGCCATAGAGTGCCCGGTCGAAGATTTGGAGCGCGAGGATCTGGTAGCAGAGAGCCTTTCTCGGGGAACCTGGTATTCAGCGCACAGCTTTCGCAACGGCGAGTACCCGAAACGTGGTTTTCAATCTCGACAAGAAAAGAAGCGGGAACGCGAGGAGCCCGAGCGGATATTCCATCGCTCGGGAGAAGTGTGTTTAGGCGTCTCGCCACAGCGGGGCGCCCGTTACATGCCTCTCGTCTCATTCATTGCCTGCCACTCTACCTTTTCACTTTTGTCGGCCGCGTCGCACGGCGATTTGACAGGCTTTGTCAGTATAAAAGAAGCTTGTCCCACAACATACCGGTGCTTCATTAAACATAGTGGTCGCTTCTTCGCAGTGGTCAACTGAGAGTGGCACGTTAGTGGGATCATAATGGGTGCATGTATAACGAATATATGTGTGACGCCATCTTAGTGGAATCTTGATTTTTGCATTTTATGAGAAAGACGGCAAAATTTAGGAATCATGTTGGTTGTATGTATTGCGATTAGTTTGACACTTGTTAGAAGTATATAAGCTGCTTGTTTGTTTCCGCTAACTTTTTCCAGTAGGAAACCCTAACCTAATAGAGTGTTGTTTAAGATGGGTGCGGCCTGCGTAGGCACAATATCAAACACTGCTCGCGGCTACATTTCAGGATTTTCCAGCTGTTGTTTACGTTTCATGGTGTATGTACTTCCCCGAGGACATTGAGAACATAACACACCAAGCAAGGAAAACGAGCGACAGCTGTACTGCTGCGGCAGCTGTTAGTAGCCCGTCCCTCAGGTTTGCGACCGCTTGAGCTCAAACGAAAACTTTCGCCGCTAAATTTAGCGGAAATATTGACATCGCGTGACCTTTGC